CGAGATTCTGGATCTGACCCTCCCCCCCGTGGGAGCTGCCCTTCCTCTCCCTTGCACTATCTTGTTCGCCCATTTCTCCCCGGTCTTCTGCTACAGAATCCAGAGGATACTCGTGTCTCTCCGCCATCCTCTCCTGGCTACCCCTCCGATTCTGAACCCTGGATCTCCCCCTCTCCCGCATCTTTCTCGCCAGAAAAATCTCCCGCGGTCTGGGTTTCGTCTCCTCCCCTCTCGAACCAGCGCTTTCCCACGCCATCCTAACCTCCAATGGGAGGGGGAATAACCACCACCCCAACTCCCCTTCTTCCCCCATAGTAAGAGAGCCTTGCGTAAACTACTGTCACTATCCGGCCGGGCTTCGCTCAGCCCTTCAAGTTCAACTAAGTCTCAGCTAAAGCTTTTCTGTAGCCCTCACCTCAGCCCAGTTTCCTAAGTCTGGGGGTCCGACCTCAGCCCCTCCAATAGGGCCCTGCTAGGAAGGGTTCTCAACTTAGTGGGGTGGGCTGATCCAGTCTAGGTATGCTCCTCCCCCAGAATCTGGGAGGTGAGGAGGGAGGGGCCCTGTAGAATGTTGTGATTCTGGGTTTAAGGGGCTGGGAGGTGAGAATTGGGTGGGGGGCTGGGGACCTGTCTCTGAGAGAAGTAGTGGAGGGGAAGGCGGGGCTAACCTAACCTCACTTATTCAGATGCAAAGAGAGCTCCCACACCCCAATGAAATTTGAAATCCTGCCCTTGGACCACCTTGGAGAAGCCCTTTAGGGGAGTTCAGAAACTGCGGTGTGAATCTGATGGACCTTATATCTCCTTGGAGGGAAGAAGAGGCAAGGTTTTGATACTTTTGTTATTATGGAGGAATCTAGCCTCCCCATACTGTAGAGGATACGACTAACAGGGAGAGGTGGGGCCAGTTCGAATGGTTACAGAGGTGAGGTCAGTTTTCCAACTAGACCCTATTAATCCACTCCACTGCCATCCAGTCGATTCCGACTCATAGCGACCCCATAGGGTACAGTAGAACCGCCACAGAGGGTTTCCAAGGCTGTAAATCTTTGCAAGCAGACTACCTCATCTTTTTCCCTTGGTTGGAAGGGCTGGGCAGTTTGAACCGCTGACCTTTTGGTTAGCAGCCCAAGGCTTTAGACCCTATTAACAGTATGATCCATTTAATGAGTGGGGTGGAGAGGAGGGGGAGAAAGGAAAGGTCTTTAATTATTTCATCTCCATTGGGGAGCTCTCCTTCCTCCTTCCTCCTCCCTCCTCCACTAGCTGCGCCTATAGCTCTGCTCCTTCTCTTCTTATGCTCTTAACTTGCCACCCCAGAATTGGGGGACAGGGTGTCAGGATTTGCTTCAGACTCTTCTGAGTCTTGTTCAATGTGTAAGGAGTGAGCTGGGGGAGGAGGAAAAGGTGGTCAGTAGTGGCATTTGAATACCAGGAGTATCTGGAGCCAGAGAAGGAAGGAGGTAGAGGGATACAACAAATCCCCCTTTTTTTTCCCTCCTCCCTTTTTCTCTCTCTCTCTCTCTCCCTTCCCAGGCCCGGCCATCTGGCTCCTCAGTGGAGCCAGGCACTAGCAGCTGACCCCAGAGCCAGGGTGGTGCAGTAGGAATGGGGAGGGTGAGAAAGGGGGAGCAGGTGCTAATTCTCTATCCCCATTCTTCTCATTATCTGTTCACTGGCCTGGTTGGAGAGTTCAGTCTATTCCCTAGGTACCTTTCTTGCAAGTTGCTGAAAAATGACCATTTGCCCATTCCCCTTTCTAGTAGCTTCCTAAAGGGGGATGGGGTGGCCGAGCAGCCACATCTGACAGGATTGTGGAATGTTTGGGGACATATGGGGTCAGTCTGCCCTCTGTTGTCTGGATGGAGGAGAAGCACAGCTGCTGCCTGGAGTGGCTTCTGGCAAGAAGTAAACACCCAGGTGTTGGGCATATTGGTACCACACCCTCATCCTTTCCTTAAACAGTAAGGAAGATCCTTCCTATTTAGATGGGATGAGGAGGGGTCTAATTCAGGGATGAAAGTGACTGAAGAATGGCTCCTGCTCCATTTTCTTTTCTAATCCCAGGTGATCCTCTCCTATTCAACATACCTTTTCCCAACCTGCTTCTGGCTGAGATAGGCCTAGGGGGTTGCCCTGGAGACAAGGCCTGAGGCTCGGAAGGGGTGGTGGCAGTCTGTGGGGCACAGGAGTAACCGGCTCTTCCTGAGCAGAGTGTAGCCAGCGGGTGGGTGTGTGTGTGGGTTTGTGGGTGGGGGGAGAGGTGTGGCTACACCCGTCTGACTGGCACAGGCTCCTCCTCCTCTGCCTTCCCAGTCTCCTAGTGGCCAGCTCTACCATTCAAGTGGGAGATAGGAAGATTCTCCTTCATCTACCCAGGGAAAGGCAAGAGAAAAAAAATGGGATACCAGTTCCCCCTTCCTGCCCTTCAAGAACAAGTTCCATGCCCTGAGCTCCCTTCTCCATCTGCTTTTATTTTTCGTTTTTGGGCTGGATGAGTAAATACTTGAGCACAGGTTTCCAGAGTGGCACCCACTCACTCAGGGACATGGGGTTAGCAGACTTTTTTTGTCCAGGAGGACCTATAAATCTGTTGTTCTAACTCCCCTGGTAATCCATTTAGGAGAACCAAAACCAAACCCACTGCTATCAACTCAATTCCAACTCATAGTGACCCCCATAGAGTTTCCAATGCTGTAAATCCTTGCGGAAGCAGACTGCCTCATCTTTCTGCGGCTAGTGAATTCGAATCAAGGACCTTTTGGTTAGCAGCCCTAACCACAGTGCTACCACCACCAGAGCTCCTTAACTCAGGAAAGGGAAAGCAAAATCTTCTTCCCTTTTTATTCTTCCCTCCCTCTGGCCTGCATTCTGTGGAGCTTTGCTGAAGATAACTTCCTTCATAACCTCCCTGAACCTAGTGTGTGTGGGTGGTGGTGGTGGTGGGGTGGAACAGTGAAATCTAATCTAGACTGATGACTTTGGTCTCACCCTCCCCTGTCTCCGACCAGTTTTCAGATCTCTTTCTCCCAGGCCCCCCAGAGGAAAGGTATGCGTTGATCCCTTAACTTAGCAGAACTCTTGATTCTAGCTCTGTCTGTTGTTGTTCCAGAACATTCAGTGCCATTGTTTGTAGAACTGCACTGCATTAAATTGAATGGGAATTATCTTGAAGCCTGCAAAGTATGTTGAGTTGCCGGGAAAGGATACCTGGTTTTAAGTCACATTTTATCCACTGTTTTGGACTTAAACAAGTTGGTTAACCTCTCTGGGCTTTAATTTTTTCATCTGACAAGGTCGAATTAGAAATTCTCTAAGCTTTAACATCATGATACCATCTCATCCTGAGGCCTACCATAGACATTTTAGGAGACAGTCAAACCTAGTCCTCAGCTAGATTTTCCTCTCTTGTTCTCACGGCTCATACAGTTATGTAACCCTATCAGTAAAAGTACTGGAACCATAGCCTCTACAAGAATAGGTGGATATTTGGGGCATCTTATTTACTGGTCAGTTTTCCCATTATCCCCAGACTCCCCAACTGTATTTAGGCCAGGCTTTGGTCTTCCTGCCTGGTCCCAGAGCCAAGTCTCCTTTTCCCATGCACAGGAAACT